GTTATGTTATGTTAAACTCTAAAACTGTTGGAAGATAAAGAAGAAAAATTGAACATACCAAAACAGACCCCCAACCAAGGAACACGATCTTATTATCGACAGGTACAACTTTGTCTCTGGCGAAGGCAATCTTGTCGATGTAGGGGTCCTTTCTACCGAAAGTCAGGTTCTTATGGAGCCTCAGTACTGCGTAGTTGAACTCCAAGGTCTGTGGCTTGTAGTTAGGATGGAAGAAGATCTCGGAGACACGCAGCAGGTCCCCACCGTCCGTGGCGTTCGTGGAACCAACTCTCACCGTCAACATTTTCACATATTCACGGAAGAATCGATTATTATATTGACTGAAAAGAATTATAAAAGAAAGAACTACCTAAATATCAGTTTTTCTTCCGTGAGTATAGTAAACTTACTCGAATACATTTCATTTACACAACTGAGATTACCTAACAAGCTATAAAAAAGATGTAAAATGGTGCCAATATGAGACCATACACACTCGCTCGCACTGTCAAAATATAATGAGATTATAGAGTTTACCTAGCACACTAACTCTAATACTATAGCCGTAGTCCGTAGAGCGTAGCGCTTAGTACGTAGCTCGTAGAGCATAGCGCGTAGTACGTAGCTCGTAGAGCGTACCGCGTAGTACGTAGCTCGTAGCGCGTAGCAGTGTTTTCCCGCTATCCTATAAACCTCGTCGGCGCGGCGGCGTGCATACCGGAGTCTCAGATGGCACTACTATCTTTAAAAGCTATAGATATTATGCACCTCGTTTAGCACATCACAGAAGCTGTGCAACAGATTGCGGGCTGTCAGTCGAAGTTGTGAAATAAGCATAATATTTCAAAATTATTTAATTGCTTGTTTTCAGCCTTAGTCAAGACTAAGTAGAAAATATTTATGACTTACAGTTGTAAGCAGTGAGCGGCAGTAAGGATCTTGTCTTTATCAATGATGACGCCGCCACACCAGAGCTCGTTGTTCACCAGCAGGGCGGCCATGTAAGGGAACTCTTCGATGGTGGCCACCTCATCAGGGTTGTAGATGCGACGGTAACGACGGTCTAACACCAGTTTGGTAGTCGTAGCCTGTGTAGCTGGCATTGCTAAGACAAAATTATTAAAAGTTTAGAGTTCTTTCTGGGACCCACCACTGTTATATTTCTAAATCTATGGGACCCACACACAGGTAGCTAACGTGAATAAATCTATAAATATTTAATGTGGAACCTTGAACCAGTCGATAATGAATGATAGACAGAATTTTAAAATTACCAATTGATTGTGATTGTGCCTAAAGACAGTAAACTATATTCTTCTGCATTGTGTGAATAGATGGGAACAGAAAGACGCGCTTAATTTCTTGTTGTTGAATCCCAGGTAATTAACTTGGTATGTATATTACACTGTGTTAAACTGTCAAACACCAAGCGGTCACCGGAGACCGCAACCTATTGTTCTATAATTGTACCTATAATGACGTTCGGTGATGTTCGGTACTCGACGAGTTAAGACGAAAACCGCCAGAAAGTTATAATTGAAGGAAAGAACGTCTGACGAAAAATAAAGCAATCTTTACTTATTTCAGCGTCAAGGTTTGCGCCATCAAAGTCTTTTCGGTTGGGATACTCGATAGGTAGGCCCTCGTACTGCCACTCCTTTGCCTCTACATTGTTCCGATTCGATCTTCTCTGGTCTTAAACAAAATAAAAAAAATCATCCTGTGGGCAGTGTCCCACGTTTGGGTACAGTTCTCTTCTCATACAGTCAAAGAATGCTTACTCAAAGCAAATTTCATACCTAAGGCGATGTAGGAGGAATGAAGGTGTTCCTTCACCGTATGTCATGATTGTACAAATTAACTTACCAATGTCTAGGAGAAAGACACGTTTGTAATTGTACTTGGTAGGTATCGGACTCTCGCCTTCTGAAGGCTTTTGCGAATAAGTCATTTCGTATAACAAGTAGATTAAAAAAAGAACACTAACAATTCTCAAGGAGAACAGTTTGTAACACTGTGTAATGAACATTCAATAGGTAATAAATATTTATGAGATATTCGACAATGCATGAATGAAATCAATTTTGAAAGAATAGCACGTCAACACAGGCGCAGTTAGGAGGTGCAATATTTATTATACTGTGTTAAAATTACGGATAGAGAAATCAGTATCAAAATTGTATTTTCATTCATGTATCGTAAAAATTTCTAAGTACTGAAATATTTGTTAGTGTAATTTTATGAAAATGGTTCCTTGTATTTGAGTGCTATGGGTGTCCATGATGTGTATTCGCAGCCCATCTTAATATGCCTTCAATATAAAAACAAATAAACGTAAAATGACTAAGATGTCTTCTAGTTTACATAACTCACTTAACTATTCATAAAATAGTTGTTCAACATACGTGGTTATAGGCTTTAGTATTTCGATTGACCAATCACAAACCGCCGCGATACTTATGTTTCTACATAACGACCAATCGTAGCGCTTATTTTATTGATTTCTCATATGCTTACTTTCTGCTGACACTTGAGAGGACACGGAGGAATCAACGTGTGACGTCACGTAGGTCATCGAGTGCATTACAAAGAATGAAAATATTACAATTCCACGACATCGTCCTTCTCTCATCTTTATGATGTCCTGCAAAGATAAATATTGAATATTTGAGCATATAATCTATACATCTTCTTTTTTTTCTTTTTCTGTAAATAAAGCTGAAATGTGTGTTTCTTTGAATGCGCTAATCTCCGAAACTACTGAATCGAATTGAATGATTATTATTTTTGTGCTGGATAGTCAATTTCTCGAGGAAGGTCACACACATCACGCTACGGTTAATAGAACTGAGCTAAGTGAAATGGCGCTGGGGTAACTAATTAATGATATAGGTGATTGATGGATTACCTAGATTGAATATAATATGTGTTTAGGACTAGAGGATGCAGGAAATAAATAAAGTACAAACGATGAGGATGTTTAGCAACTTGGCTCGTATATTGGCTTCATGTAATTGAATACATGCATCCTGTTTCCTTCGGATGCAGTTTCTGTTGTAATTTAGTGCATTTTTATACACGCATTTACTGAAATCGAGTAGCTAACGAAGTAAGCATCTAGTGTCTGTTAGTAGATGATAGTTTTTATACTATAATTAGGTTTCAAAACTCACCTATTATGCTGACACTGAAATATTTCAATACAAATATCCGAATCCAATTTCTCAGAACAATTTCATGTTATGTTGCTTCCTGATGCAATAAAATCAAACGAAGTAACGTAGCTTATAGAAATATTTTATTACATTATTTACACGATAACTATAAACAGAATACTATATACAATACGAACAAGGCATTATAGTTTTAGGTACACATGACTTTAATAGAACGAGGGTTTATTTTAAGGAAAACAATTTCGTGTCTATTGCTTAATGCCATCCTTTGCCCCAGCCTGAGCCCCAGCCATAGCCGGTCCACCCGCCGAGGGACGAGCCCCAGCCGAGCCCTCCCCAGCCCACACTGACGGGAGCAGCGATGACAGGAGTGCGGATGATGGGAGCGGTGACAATGGGGGCAGATACCACGTGGCGCACGACCGGCGCGGACACCACAACGCGAGGGATCGTCACACCGTGGTTGATGACGCTGGAGCTTACAGAGTACGATGGCAGCAAGACGGGAGAGGCTGAGGGACAAACAACAATATTTCTAACCCAGAAACGTAAGAAAACTCACAAGTTAGGGCCAAATTATCAGTTACTTTGAAAATCTGTTAGACTTTAACTAAGATTGTAGCTGATAATAATTTAAAGGGTGATGTAACATCTTATCTGGCGTGGGTTTAACCAAAGTCCATAGATAACTAGCCAAGTACCTACCTACAGGTAGAGAGAAGATAGTGTACCTATAAGTGTAAAATATCAAATTCTCTATAGATTGGAGAATGTACGATGCAAATACAAAAGTAATGTTGTATGTAGGTATACGGCTCAAATTATCCTTATGTAAAGGAGACTCATAGTTCAAAAGTAGTATTTTACGGGCTTGTTGACAGATTATTTTAAAAGGCGATAGCATTGTTGTATCTCAAACGGTGACTGTCTTAAACACAACTGTGAAATGTAAAATGCACCTTTACTGCCAGGCATTTATAGTCCCAATAACTTTATAAATGATGTAAAGTTGATCTGAAGATTTTGTATATTTGTGAGTAAGATGAAGGCAAGCAAATGAAATTTTGCTTACCTTAGCGGAATTTTCTATGCATGGACTTGGATTTAGTGTTCAAATAGTGTCTATAATGAAATGAGGAGTTACCGAGGCCCAGTCCCAGTGGTGGGACAGGGTTGGCGACCACCATGCCGATCAGGGCCAGTACTAATGCCACCTGCGAAGGAAAATTCTTAGATTAGATAATTCATGAATAGTTGCTTCTATAAGCCTAGTATGAAATTGTCCAAATCACAGATAGGGATGTACAGAACTAGAAAAGAGGGAGATCTATGCTCAGTGAGGATGACTCCATGATATTTCAGCATGATGATAAACACTATGAGGTTATTATTTAGCAGATCGCAAAAATGACTAGGGATAGATATATAGACATCAGGATTATTCTGAATTAGTTTTTCTGATTATTAGAATTAGCAAATTGTATAATTGCAGGATAATGAGTGAATTATCAGATAACATTTAATTAGAAACTAAAACTGTCACTAATAAAAGTAGATAATTAATTTTGTTCACCATTTCTTGAAAAAACAAGTCGTATAATTTAAGAGACAAAAGGAAACAAAATTCAAAATCTTGACAAGTACTTACCGCGCACTTCATGTTAGTCTATTTACAGGTTTGCACTGAAATGTAAACTGAATTACTTATGATTAGCATTGGGTTTATATATCGAGTGTGGTAGGGCACGCTTCACTGCGTCCATGTATCCTGTCGGGAAACTTTGCGCCATTCGCTGCATTAAACATTATATTATGCCCTTTCGACAGGCCAGTTTTACTTTTGAAAGAGTTTATGATTCAAGTTGTGTGTGTTGAGACATTCGTTTGTAAAGGGATATTAATAAGAAAATACATACTTCTAGAAAGGTGTCAATAGGTTTATAAATGGTAATGGCGCATGTAATGCCCCAAGTGTTGCAAGCGTACATAGGCCACGGTAACCACTTACCATCAGGTGGGCCGTGTGCTTTTATTGCCACCGTCGTGATATAAAAAAACAAAGTGTAGGATAGAGCCCACCAACAGCTTTATAATTGGTCTTCAATCTTAATTTGTAATCTTTGGACCGACCCAATGTCCAACATAAACTTTATTAATTTCGACTGTAAGTGTAGTGACATAGTGACTGATGATGCAGCTGTGTCACCATTGTGGCAGTCATTGGATGCGAAAAGCTAAAGATCGAGGTTAGTGACGTGTTATTGGAGAGGCCTGTGCGGATGCGGCAGTGCAGTGGAAAGAAACAGTCATTAGTTTAAGATGCAATGAGGACTGACAAAACACGGGCGACAATCCGATTTGTTTCGATGTCAATAAGTTAAACTTGCCCCGAACGTAGGTTAATCAAAGCGAACAAATTGAACAGAATCAATTGTTCAGTGTCTATCATACACCCATGTGTATGATAGGATCTGCTTACCCCCATGGGTAAGCAGGTATCTGCTTACCCCCATGGGTAAGCAGATACTATGGAACTCCAATTGCTGCGATTCCTACATACCTCTTTCGCTTCATCAACAGTCATCAATCTTTTAAAGCATGCTTGTCGGTTAAGAGTACTTTTAATTTGTCTATATCTTCTAAGGCAATAATTACCTACCTTCTGGTCGTCTCGATGTGTTAATCATACCTGCCTGAATTTCAGTGTTATATACATATACCCAGAAATTAGATGGGCCACGTTTACATTCACAATTATGTCAAAACTTGGTTTTTTTCCTCTTTGGCAACCGAGTCTCCAATATGATGTTGTCGACTATAAGGTATTATAGTTATCCATGTTTGATTGCATTGCATTGTAGAATAGTAGCAATTAGCGTTCCATAATCTCTGCCAACCCCCATGGGAGACATCTGGCGTGAGGTTATGTATGTATGCTTGCATTCCAATTCCTTTGGAAGATATATCTACAATTTAAACCACTCATGCTACTACTGATTTTGAAATCGGAAGAGACAATATTACTGATCCATTAATTCGTTACTGAATATAGGACTTCAAGCTCCGCAGTGGTTAACTTGAATTACCACAACAACATTTAAGTGGACGCTCGAATATTGAAAGGCCCGAGTACTGAACATCGTGCCATCTCTGTCATTACACAAAGAATTTGTTGTGACAGGACTATACTTAAATACGACTTCAAATTCACTGGCGGTTCCCATATATCCCCAAGCGGTCACCAGTGACCGCTCTCCACTAACTACATTATAGACCTTATTTCCAATGTTTAGAGACTACTTTTGTATGAACAAATTTAGGGGATGATATTTAAGATATTTCAACAGGTTAATACATTGGTTCCAGAAACATTATAAGCGAAATCTGCGTCATAGATTGACCAATTATGTACCAGTTAAAATAACAAAAACAATACATTGTGGAATGTTAATGAAGTACTTATTACATGGTAATAAAGTTTGTTTTTGCCGTGTTAATGACAGGAACTAATATATTATCGTACAATTGCACTATAGGATTACGTTAATCACATCGCACCGACAACTGACTGAATAATTGAGCTTTTTATTCAAATACACCTTACTTGCATACTAAGGTAAGCAACTCTGTTTTTAATTCTAAGTAAACAGAGTGCCTATTTTTCTGTGAACGACTTTTGTATCATTTCACGCAAAAACTTTCTTTTGGTTTCGAGTATGTCCTAAAACTGTGACTAGACACCCTAACTCATATTCCAAATTGTAAGTCAGTAATTGGATTTAATTTTTTGGTGACTCAAATGCAATTCCCAACTTCAACTGTCTTTTTTTCGAGTTTCCTATATCTACAATGTTCATGTCAATAAGATGTAGTGCGCTTTATTGTATCTCTGAATTTTTGAATAATTGCAAAAATGACAATGTTTATTTTTATCGCAAGGTACTTAGAAATTTATGGCTTAGAGTTTTCAGGGGCTTAGGAAAACAAATATTATAAACGGAACTCTTTAATTAATAATTAAATAAATCAGCATAATAACATCTTAATAAAATCAAAAAAACTACTAAATAGACCAATGTCTGGTCTATTACAGCACGCAAACAAAATAATGCGAAGCTAATGTCGACCAATCATATTACATAGACATTCAGTAACGAATACAAAACACGTTCCGATTGGTTGAAATTTTCGTCAAACTAAAATAGACGTCATAGACAACATACCATTGTAGAATGTCGAAAACGAATCTTAACATCTTTTTCACAAAAATATATTTGCTGATCTTTCTTTTCGTAAAATAATGTCGTCAAAAATTTACTTTTTTCTTTCTTCCAAGGACAGCTGCAGTGCGCAGGCGCATGCGTTCAGATTACATGATAATGGTGCATTAGTTTCGCGTCGTTCGTTCTATTAACACGTCTTTAACCTAAGCTGTAGCTTCATAAAGTCGACGATACACATAATCGTTACTGAAAAGAAAAACAATATTTATTATATTTTTAACACGTGAGAGAGTCATACTTCTGTACGTAAATGAACCGGTTTGACTGGACTGATACCGCAGGTGAAAATCGAGGTGAAACAACGCTTACGTTGTGTTTCACCCTGTGACTGAGCGACATAACTGGGGACTTCCTCATTCTCCTCCCATCCCCAATCGGCAATCCTTAATAGCTTGGAAACTCACTTATAAGTCCTCTGGTATTCCATGAGTAAGCCACTCATGTGATCACACCATACCACTGAAGACTATTTTGGAAAAATGACATCACAAATGTCTTTTGCATTTACTTTATAACGTCTAAAAGGAGTTAGTTATTGCCCCAAAATCGCAAATCGTCGTCTAAGGACAACTTCAAGGTGATTGAGCCTAGACATAGGCTGCCTAGCATATGTCTATGAAGCATTGGTAATACGTCCTCCTAATGTATCTATCAATATGTATTGCTAGGAACTTCATTAAATGATCAATACCTAGGAATTTGTTATTAATTTAAAGTACCTATTACTGTAATTTAAGTTTAACTTTGAATTACCTTCCACCGGTCATTGTCATAGTCCCACTTGGATGAGATACCGTCGATGGGATTCACGCGAAGTTCCAGCATCCGCCGCAGCTGTACCTTTTGTGAACTTTTCGATAGACTCGGCGGTAGGCACTCGTACACTGCCCAAGTAGACATAAAAGTACATAGCGATCAATCGGTAATGTCGGCCAGGACGTAATACAACCAACATTTCAGACTACTCCTCCTTTTCCTGACCAACATGCTTTAGACATAACGTGACCTTACTTTATTTTTTTAAACTGTCAAGCGGTCACCGGTGACCGCAACCTATTGTTCTATAATTGTGTCTACAAAACCGGTACTCGACGAGTTAAGGGGGGAAAATAATGCAATGATTTTTAAGTCGTTAAGTCCACCGCGGCTCCGTATCGGCATCAGTCCTATTGGGCCCCATCTGTGGTGGTCTGATGGCTCCTTGAGCCGCGCGCGGAACTTAAAAGTACATTTTGTCCTTGTCAAGCAGTCTCATCATCAACTAGGTAATGAAATGATTAAGATACATACCGTAATAATGGAGGAATATAAACATCCAGAAGGCGAACGCTGAAATGAATAAGCCCATCCCAAGGACAACCTTCCATTGCCCCGTGGGATGCTGGAACTCGGTAAAAGTTTGACAGAACGACGCTCTGTACAAGGCTTTCTTTTCTTCACAGCATAACATTCGCCAGTCACCTTTCTCTTTCTCTCGTAATGCCTAGAAGCAGGAGAGCAGATTATTCAATCAGCCATACTATATCTATAATATTATCTTAGATACAGGAATTTATACAGATATTTAAAATAGAAAACAGGAAAAAAACCATTGCCCCACGGTCGAATGTTTCGGGCAAAAACTTACTGGGTTTTTAAAAAAAAATCTGTATTAGTACGAAGTCTGGAATTGTGCCCGGTGTATGGCAATAGGCTCGCCAAACTTACATTACATGGGACTCAACATAAGTAGCGAAAAGTGGGTGTTGCATTGTACAGTGGCAATAAGTGCCGAGTAATAAGATTGAAGCAGTGCTCTGCAGTGCAGTAGCAGATAAATCAACTAAGAATAGCAAATGTTAAATACATTACACAAATATCTCTGGTGTTTTCTTTAAACCTCACGGCAGGAAAGGGAAAATGAGCATCGTCCTTGTAATTGGCGCCACCGTTTACCCCGAAGCCGACCCAGTCCCGGTTCCCGATCCTACATCTATGGTGAATGTTCCTAACTCTAAGCGCAAGTGACGAATAAACTCCGAAAGATTTCAGCGTAAGTAAATACATTTTCGTTCCCTGATCGGAACGATGTTGACAAATGACAGTTGATTTTTCAAATTCAATCGGTTTTAATGGTTGTTGTCAATTTGTGAGTGAAAAGAGGTTGCTAATAGCCTTGCAAACAAAAATTAAATCTTATTGAGACAACTAGCTGACCCGGCAGGTTTGATTTGACGGCACGGAAGAATTTTGTTATTATTGCACCTAAAGACTAGGTCTAAAGGAATTGAAATGAATACAAGCCTTTGTAGGTTACGATACAATATTTATTTTGATACAATTTTGAAATAATCACTTATGTATATTGTATATGATTTGAGTATAATTTTGTTTCATTTTCAAAATTGATAATTTCTTTAGCTGTTTACCATCTGTAGTCATTGCACAGAACAGCAATTATAAAACTGAAAGTCTAATAAACATTAATACTTTACTTTAGCCTGTGTTCCCTAAAAGCAATTTATAAATGTCACCAGATCTGACTATAATATTGAACAGATTTTCAGTAATATTACGATTTCCTTTACTGATATTTTTCTTCTGTTTATTTTTCATTTGATTCGCTACTTTTTCTTCTCCACTTTCATCATTCGAATTGCCTCCATCATTATCTTCGTCTAATTTAACTTTATTGTTGTCTTTTTTAATATTTTTAGTAACTATATCCGTGGAATCATTACTATCTTCTACATTATCATCACTTTTATTCTCTATATCATCTTTATTTTTTGGTTGTAATTCTAACTCTTTCTTCTTATTAACAGGGCTATCTTCTTTATATTGTCGTATTTCCGAGTCACTGGACAACTTCTTCTTTTTATTAACGTCCGAATTATTATCTTCTTCATCGGTATTATCACTAGAATACGTTGCTGTGGTTTTGATTTTCATTAGCTCTTGGATTTTATCCATCATTAAATTTTTATTTCTCTTGTTAATCGACACATTTTCGTAATCTTCGTCAATCTCTATTTTCGAATTCGTGTTGACAAATTGCTTTTTCTTATCTTTAGTTTTAGAGTCTTGAACTACAGCATCTTTACTGGCCATAACATTTTTCTTTTTCTTAATGATATGTTCAATATTTTTCATATATAGCTGCGTTTTTAATTTATTAAGAATTGAGTTTTCATCCTCTACGTTTTCATTAGTTTGCTCTTGCTTTTCCTTAGCATGAATGGTTTCATCATCTATATTTTTATCCTGATGTTTTTGTTTCTTTGAAATGCCTTTTTTATGTACGTCTTTTTTGTTAACTTCGTCTTTCTTATTTTTAACTACTCTGGCTCTTAGATCTTCCAAATATTTGGCGATAACTTGATTATCTCTTCTTTTAACTTTATCCTCTTCGTATTTATTAGTGGATTCGTCCACTTTACCTTTACTAAGGATTTTGTGTATCTTTTTCTTCATAGTGAGGTCTCCCTCTTTTTCTTGTATTGCAATTGTCTTTTTCTTTTTCTTTCCTTTGACGTGTTTATCGATGTTCTTTATATCTTTATTGTCAACTTCATCTGGTATTTTCTTTTTATTATTACTATTTAAATGTGTGTAGTCCAAAGAAATACCTTGCCCTGCATTGCTTTCATTTTCACTATCGTCTTCTCCATCATTTTCATAACTTGTATCGTAGTCGTCTGTCTTACTTTGATCTTTATTTTCTAAGTTACTATTATCCACTCTTTTTTTCGTAATGTCCAGCAAATAAGGATTTTTGTCAACCAACTTATTTTTTTTATGTTTATCGTTTGTTTTGATCAATTTTGCGATCTCACGTTCACTATCGTCAAGTAAACTTTCACCTGATCCCAGGATTTCATTTAGTTTTATGTTATCCACCAGATCCTCAATAACTTCTTCTACTTTTTGTTGGTCTTCAGAACTTTCTTGATTTTCATAATTATTATCATCATCATCATCACTGTAAACATCAAGATTTTCTTTATCGTTATCACTATCACCACCGTAACTGTCATCGGATCGACTTTTAGATTTAGGTTGCATGTGAGATGATGTAATCATTTCCTCAGACGCAAAAATATCATATTCCTTAACTAACTTCTTAGTGACTCTTGTTTTTTGAATTTTGTTCACCGCAGAAGTAGTAGGTACTATGGCAGGTCTTTGGCGTAATGGCATTTTTACTGCCTTAGTCTTCGTAGTACTCAATTTACCTCGATCGTGATCTGTTATCTTTGCACTCTTGATAATTTTCCGTTCAGATTTACGTTTTGATTTCTTTTTCGTTATCATTTTCTTCTTTTTGTTTTTCTTCTTTTTAACCTGTATGTCCCCCGTATCCTCCTCACTGTTTGATTCTAGATCATAGCTAGATGGATCAGTTAGTTCTTCGCTATCAAATATTGTTTCAATGAATTCTGTAAAATCCTCTCGTCCCGTTCTAATTGCATTTTTTGATCCTTTTGCAGCCACTTCTGGGGGTTGGTCTGAATCTTCATTTATTGGCGTTATATTAAGATTTGCAGTTATATGTACATAAGTAGGAGGTAAATGCAATGTTGTCAATCTTTTAGACGGTAAGCTTGTTGTATAGACTCTTCCAGAAGGTACATCCTGTAACAAGAAATTCCGGATTTATTGTTTTAAATTGAAACTTATCGTATTTATTTTTATACACCACACAGTTTTAAATTCTAGCATTCATTTAAGGGGACACAATGTCTGTTACCGTAATACATGCAATTTTTGATGTTCATATTAACTGTGCTTCTATTGCAGTAATAAGAAATAATAAGAAAACACATAATAAATAAAGAAAAGCACCTGTTCTATGACTTGCTCTATCCAGTCATTGTAGTAGCCCAGTTTAGTGAATACAGTGGGAGCGTCAGGAGCTCCGCAGCTCGGAGAACCGAAGCTTACAACACCTACTAGAATGCCGCTTGCAACGCCTGGACCCCCTGCGTCACGCTGGCAATATATAAGTTATTATTAATTATTTTATAACTCCAGTTAGGTGGAATGAGGATATCTTAAAAGTGGCTGATAGTAGTAGATTTTAAAGCCAAAGGTTGTGTCCAGAGGTGAGTTTACGCGTCAAACTTTTGCTGCTGTGAAAATTGTCAGTTGAAGACGGTGTCTGAAAATGTGCCCGATGAATATAGTAAGCTCATGTCCCTTTAAATGGAAACGGAGTGTACGACGCCTCGATCATTTGCATGATTATAATATGTGTGGCTGTGCCGGTAGTTTGGGAAGAAGTAAAAATCGAGTTCCGTGATGTGATTGACTAACTGACGATGATGATGGAATAAATATATTATATTAACAAAAAACAACATACGTTACATGCCCCACCGCCCTTCGAGAAGAATCCAGCGCAGAAGTTATGTCGCGTCACGAACTCCCTGTAATATGGTAGAGTTTAGAAGGCTATTGTGATATAAGATGCTTCATACAATACACTATGTGGCGTATACCTTATAATTATTATATTAGATTTTTTCATAGGTTTTTTTTTGGAGAGAAAGTCTATACATTCGGCAGAGACTCAGCAGCAACGCAGTCTTATACAATTGAACCTTTTAATTTGTGATCTGCTCTTGTCTAGCCAGCTTTATAGAGGAAAAGCGCATAGCTCAGAAGTAAACTGTCAAGGGTCGTTGTAGTATCATACATACCTGGAATATATTTCCTGACACTCTGCATATGGATAAAAGTCTAGAACAGCATACGTCAGTCTATTCTTCCGAGCTTGTTCAATAATGTGGTTGTTGAGCTGAATAAATGTTTTTCATTAATAAATATACCTGTTTTTTTAAGAGGGCAAAATCATCGAATGAATTCTCCCGCCTGGGTGAGGCGGGAGGGAGTGTCAGACTCTTACTGACTGAAAACTACCCCGTTCCTACTACTACCCCTTCGAGCCAGAGCCCCGGTAATCCATTAAGTCCTCCGCGGCAAATATACCTGATACTACAGCAAATAAGACAAACAATTTTAATCGGAGCTAGTAAAATAAAATTTTAGATCAAGCAATTAAGGAATCTTCTCTTTCGTTTTTTATACTTGATATGTTAGCGTTTGGCCACTATTTCATCTAGTGGTAAGCGATGATGTGGCCGATGGTGGAGCATGCCTACCTATAGTACAGCAACCTATTCACGGGAAACTAGTCACTTGTTCCAAAGTTTACCTAATATCCTTGATTTAATCATATGGTACTATTAGTACTACAGCGTGTTTTTCTACAATGGAATTAAACTCAACTCTTCTAAGAGATTTGGCAATAAAATTATCAAAAAAATCTTACACCCTTTGCTCCCCATCCAACGATAGTGATTCCGTCAGTATTTGAAGGCAGCGGCCACGGATTTGTATCTATCTCTATCCTCTTTATTTTCTTCTTTCGTTTTCCGAACGACAGTGCTCTTACCATCCTCAACAGCGCCAGATTATTACCCAATGTCTTAGGTTCATAATTCGGATGGAAATGTATCTCCAGCACGGGGATGTTCTCCCCGCCGTGTTCGTTGAAAGTGCTGCCTACTTGTAAAGATAGGAAGGCTGGGTTTTCGTTGAAGAATCGGTTGTTCCAAGCTCTGATAAAATATACAAATAGTTCAAAAACTTATATGATGAAAATGGAATAACACGTATAAATTACAGTCCAGTACAACAAATTCATTTAGTGTTATGATACAGACAGCAGTTGTAATATAAACAAGCAGTTCTTACAATTGCAGACATGAAGCCGAAGTGACAACTACATCAGATTTGATGATGGAGCCGGCACATTGGAACTTCTTGAAGAACTGCACACTGGCCATGAATGGGAACCGTTCAATCTTTGCTTCATGCCCTCCGAAGATGCGACGTCCACTTTGCAACTCGTTCAGCTGCAGCGGATCTGAAAATGGTAATTATTATTTAATATTATAACGGCATCTGTAGCTATTTTATGATAAAGCGTTCTATAGAAATACTTGCCCCAAAGTTCCAAACTTGTTGTATTGTCACGAGTTCTGTTTTCTTTTTGTATGTGTGTCGTATTGTGCACTTCATTACAATTTTCATTCTTTTCGAAATACTTTATAATGGCTTTGTTAATGTCAAAGAATTTTGTGTTGTTTTTAAGACCATGAGTTTCTTTTAAATGGTCTAGTTTTGTAAGAAAATCGTCAATAAGTGACGTAACATATACAGCATCTGTTTCTTCATCACTTTTATTGTCTTCATCTAATACTTCGTTTAATTGTGTAATAAAAACTCGAGTGCCGTTATCGAAGTTATCAACTTTGGTCAGTCTAGCTATTTCCTTTAGATTGTCGTGATCTTGCAGAGTTATTGAAACAAAGAAGTTGTGAATTGTTGTATATTGTTTCAACTTCAGCTTTTGGTGCATATCTTTGTTTTTTAGAGTGGAGAATAAATTGTTCAGAGTGTTTCGTATTGCCCACTCGGTAGCTGCGAAGTCGTCGTGGTCTACGGTGGAAGATTCAACGGCACCCTGGACATGAACACCACTGTTCAATAATGTGACACACAAGAAGATGCTCGTCGCGGAAAACATATGAAGGAGGATGTTTTCTGCGACATGAAATATAATCTAAGAAAAATATAAATTGTATAAAAACAACCGATGTATCAAATGTTTGTGTTATTAAAGTAGTTGCTCAATGTACTGGAGGTTTTTTTATGGTCACTATTTTATTTTATGTATTGTAAAATATAATTTTATCTACGTCGTAAAATATGTCGACACCACCTGAATTTAATAAAATTAAAATTGTTTTTTTTTATGATATTGCGAAATTACCCTCTGGTGATAGGATTTTTCAGATTTTTATGGACTTTTATGTAACCTCCTGTTATTGGGGGTTTAGTTTTGGTTATCCTTAAATATTTCGAAACGAACTGGCGTGTCTGATACTACTTAAGTAGTCTCAACTGATGATTATTCTACCAGTTGATGTACAAGTCCGTGATTTCGGAAGTAAAATATTATTTTATAATCATTGCCACCAGATTTGAGACAATTTATGTTTCCAGCCATTAAACTGTCAAACACCAAGCGGTCACCGGTGACCGCAACCTATTCTATAATTGTGTCTACAAAACCGGTACTTGACGAGTTAAAATGATACCAAAAAGTCCTTAGAGTCAATAACTATTATGATAAGGGAATACAAATAGAAAAGGAAACAAAACAAATGCTTAATTAAAACTTTTTATTGTATAAACCTAAGTCAATCCATACTTGTACTTATTTAAGTCATTTAAATCTTATATAATGAAATTGACGGTGATTATCATGTTCCTGATTCGCGTAGTGGTAGCTAAACATCATCATAGGATACTTCTTGAGTCTATCATCAGGTTCTTTTACATCTTCCAGGGATCTTCCATTGACCCTCGTACTTCTATCAATCGATGGTTAGACATGGACATCTTTGTTAAAAGATCTCTTCGGCCAGAATTTTCGAGAACAAAATTCTTGTTAACAATGCATCATGGTGGCGGACTAAAATGTTGTGCAGAACAATTGAAAGTTTTGAGGTACCGTCTATTTATATGAAGCCGGATTTGAAAACGTAGAATCGATAACAATAAATTATATTGGAAATTGTGCAACACAAAAATTGTTTTACAAAGAAATAAATGTTTCATAACCAGAGGAAATTGATGAACTTCATAAATATATTGTTATGAAACAGTAGGTACCTACCATCTACCTGCCTATAAGAAGTCTGTGTAGAAAATAGTATCTAATTGCTTAATTGCTATGATCGCTTTTTGTGTATCTGCTATTAATTACTTGCATTAACTAACTACAGATTAATTGCTTGATTATTGATGCTTCTTTATACTTTGTAGGTCTTGCACTCGCTTCTTTCTTACTCCCGGTGCTGGATGCAGGTCGCTTAGAACGAATCTAGAAGTCTTTCGGGAAGCCTTTATTATGTTTAGCAGTAGTTTTGTTGTGGCCGATGATAATACGATTTGAAATGAAATTCAAACACATACACACGAACAAAGTATTTGAAAGAGACAATAAAGACGTAAATACCTAATCATTAAATTATGACCAGGAGAAGAAACATTCAGACAAGCTCACAATCCAACTTTCACAATCCACTTTGAAGTCAAGTCTCAACTGAAACACCAAGAGGCCTAGACACTTCAAAAGTCGAGTACTGCTATTTGACTTTTGATTTGCTTTGGACTATGAAATATTTTCATTAATCAATGATGATGGTGGTGAACCTCATGTTCTGTCCCTTGACTTGAATTAACTGACTAGAGTAAAACCTCAGCAACATGCCAAGTCTCATTAAAATCTCGCTATAATATGAGTTCAGTAGGGAGAAAATACACACATTTAGATAGTATAAAAACATTTATTTAAAAAAAAACATCACTACTATACGCAACAAAATCAGTTACAAATAAAACGTTATAGGTAAAAGTAATTAACTCTTGACTAAAGAACATCATTTGCACTGCGATTAAAAATTATAGCGATAAAATAAAATTAGTTAGAAAACTTTTCTCTCCATCTTCTTTTGGTTTTTCACTGAGACCGAAACTTATTCGAATGTCTTTTGTAGTACTTTCTGCTACAGGTTCATCTTTATTTTGTTTAGAATCTGAACTGTCTGTATCCAGCTCAAAATAGAACGGTCTAGTTGCCAATGATCTACCGCTGTCCTGCTCAGATTGTGTCCGTTTTTCACTCGTACCCTGGTTTCTCATGATGATTCTCTTACTTCCAACATAATCCCGGTTTGCACCTTGATCTATGTCATAATGTATACTAGTTCCTAGAATATGTGGAGATTGTGTCGTTTCAATAACTTCTAAGCTAGTTTCTGTTTCATCCAAATAAACATTATTCGATTCCATCATATTAGAATCTGTTTCCAAGCTGTTCGAATTTTTTTTATCCATTTCTATATCAGAACCAATTTTATCTGAATCTGTATTATCTGCATCTTTTAAATTGGAAGCCATTTCGTCTAAATCTATTCGAAGTAATCCTGCACGTCCAAAGTCAACTTTCAATGTTTCCCCTGTTTCGTGTTCCAGTTCAGATTCCGGTTCAGGTTCCAGTTCAGATTCTGGTCCTTTTTCTGGTTCAGGTTGGTCAGCTCCCATTGGTTTTGCTTGGTTCCTAAGAATTAATTTTTTGGTAACTTTACTTGATGTGTTCGTTTTTATTTTTTTTGTAGTTGGGACAATTTTTTGTGTTTTTGGTTGGATCTTTCGAGTACTAGGAATTTCAATACTTAAGCCATGATATTCGTCACCAGATTGTTCGTAGTTGTCTGTATAATCATTGGCATTAGCTTCATTTTCCGATTCATGGTCTGAAATGTTCGGTCTTTTAAGTATCATTTTAAAAGTGTCGGTAGGAATTATGCTTTTCAGGAAGGAGTCAATGCCTTGTGATAATATGGATGTGACTGGAGTAGTCGTTCTAATTGAAATAGGAGTCGTAACTGTAATAGTAGTTTTAACTGGAGCTGCAGTTCTAGCTGTGAGGGGTTTTATTTTATATTTGTGGATTCTATGTTTTGTAGGAATCGCTTTAATTTTGTCGGGTACTGTGACAGTTGTGATAACTTTAGTAAAATCTTCATAAGCGTCACCATAGATTACTTCATCTACAGCGGTATTGTCAGACTTTACTAAGTCTACCAATATATTCCTTAGCACTTTGACCTCGTCTGGGTAGTCTTCGGCATGTTTTTGTATTTTTTGCTTTTGCGCTGGTGTCATATTCAAGTGGATGAATCCAAAGTTATTTGATTTTCTTCGCGTATCGTTATGATGTTCATTGCTTTTAGTACTTTTCTTATGCATACTCTGAAAAATAGACCAAAATAAACACATGCGTATTGGTTTATATTTAAAAATATCTCGAGAGAAATGTTTAAAAGTAAAATATCTTGGTAAATTATTTTAGAAATATATGTATTATGTTGCAGTGGTCGCTACAGAGTGGAAGAAAGCATGATAGAATAAGTAAAATATTTCAATTAATTAAAAATATTTAAAACAGAATTGTTCATTGACAAAAGCCATCCAATCTTTACCTTTGTTAGGTATATTTTCGTCCCCTTACCAGAATATTTTCAATCCAAGTGGTATAGTAGCCGAGCTTCGTGAAAACTGTTAAAGAATTAGTTGCCCCACATTCTGAGTCCCCGAAACTGACTATTCCCACTAATACCGCGCCGACTATCCCTGGTCCTCCAAGGTCTCCCTGAAAGAACAATTTTGCATAAAAAGAAAAGAAGTACAATCTATAGGACACGCCTATGTTCAACGGTGTTGCTGTAGCGCTATTCGAGCCCAAAATGAGTGTTATTTCCAACAGTCTTACAGTAATTTTTTTTTTTATAACGCGATAGAAATCCTCATGGACTTCCCACGCCGTGGGGACGACGGGGGGGTGTGCCGGACTCTTACCGGCTAAAACCACCGCGGTGTTCCTCCTCTGCCTGTGGCCGTGACCCGGGACGCCCTTGCGGATTCACTGCACCCGGCAGGCCTCGACCTACCACTACATTGTGGCAGGTCCCACCACGTAGCAGTCCTCAAAAGCTGCGATTTTCTTCCTCGAGTGGCGCACGTGAACACACCGCTAACGCCTACTCCCGCCCATACAGCGGACGACTGACTCCCCTAATCAGTCTCCCGAAGTCTTACAGTACTACCACAAATTGTTTTTCTTAGTCCAGGTGCGTAGTGCGTACTTAGGTGGACACTTATGTATTAGAAGTTTGCTATATTTGATGTTATAATTATTTGATATATGACAGATATGTATTACAAATTTTCGATAACCATTGGGGTAAACGTGTTCTAGAGTGTAGATCGCGTCTAGGAAAACACAACGACGACGACAACCACAAGGACTCTGGCAGTAGTTGGATGAGAAAAGCTGAAGACCAAGCTCAGCGGCGTGCCATTGGAGAGGCAGGACATAGGTCCAGAAGTGGACGAACACGGGGTGATGATGATGATAATTAATCTATAAAAACTAAACTCATGTTGATTAATCATTTTGATGAAAATTAAAATGGAAATGGTTATGTTCTACTTTTGTGAAAATCAATCTTTAAATATTATTGAAGTGATAAAATTGAATGGTACTAACATGACATGCCCCTCGGCTTGAGTTGTTTACGCCAACACAGAAGTTATCTTTGGATATTAAATCTCTGAAATAGTAAAATTAATTGTAATTACAAAATAATATAATGGATATTAATAATTTGGTTGTCATAGCCTTACACTGAATATTTTCGAGCGCAGTCACCAATAGGTAGCAAGTCCAATAAATCCATAGTAAGCTCAGGACTTTTCGGTACCTCTTGACCCTTCTGAAAAATATACTCATGTATTACTACCAAACAAACACTAAAACAATCTTTATTTATTTTAAGGAAATTAGACCTTAGTAGCACCCCATCCAAGAGTTAAAATTCCTTGAGTGATGTTTGTAAGATTTCCTGGAGTTTTATCAAATAGTATGCGCCTGATTCTCTTCTGTTGCCTTGAGTACCGATGCCGTTTTTCCAAGCTGATTATTGCTACATTATTAGACAGGGTTTCGGGGTTGTATGCAGGGTGCACATAGAGGTTTTGTACTGGTATAGTTTCACCATCATGGTTCGTGTAGTCGCTGCTTAGTCTTACGTAGATTGCCTTGAGGTTATTTTTTAAATACTCGTTCTGGTAAACACTGAAAACATAGAAGTATTTTGTAGAAGTTTAAGTAAAAAATTTATACATTCTAAACTTAATATGTGTGCTTTATTATCCTGTGATAACAACTCACATCTGTAAACAAGACGCAGCAGTGATGACCAAGTCCCTGTGGATGATGGAGCCGGCGCAGGCAAACTCTCCCATGATGTGAATGCTAACTATGAAAGGAAACTTGTTCACTTGCGTTTTGATGCCTCCGAACAACCTTCTTGTGTTTGTCATTTTGAACACATCTAATTCAATATTTGTTGGTCCTTCTACGGAAGAAAATGAAAATTGGGATGTTAAAAAAAGAAATAATGAGAAGTTTAATCATGCCAGAAAAGAGAATACATTTGACTTTGCCGATTACACGACTATATATTTGACAGAGACTGGGCAATACCACTCTCTGACAAACCTAAACCTTTCAAACTCGGAGCAGTAGCAGTCCTTCCTTAGTCCTTCACTTAACGGGTGACTGGGGCTCTGGCTCGAAGTGCAGGAGTAGGAACGGGGTGGTTTATGTTCAGTAAGAGTCTGACACTCCCTCCCGGGCCCGGTCGGAAGAAGCCATTGGATAATATTTGCTCAAAAAAATCAGAAGAAACCCCTTTCAAACTGCAACTGAAAAAAGTAACTTACCCCAAACTTTCAGATTTTTTTTCGATGGCACAGTAACCGGAGTAGGTTTCGAAGGCTTTTTATATTTGTGCAGAGTAAGATTATTGATCGTTGTCAAAAAACTGGCAACAAACTCTGTGAATTCAGTACTATCAGCATATTCTGAATTATCGGTAAGATTCATAGCTCGTTCTCCATTTTTTAATTTCCTCATATGTTTACTGATTTCTCTGAATGCACCATATGCGTCATAATTGTCTTCGTTTAGTACTTCTTCGACTGTAGGATCTAATTGTACTACTTTTATTGTCTGGTTTTTGTTATCTACTTTTACAAGATTCTTTATATCATTGAAGATGTCAAGGTTTTTGTCAACTATATTACTCAAATCATAATGCATTGTTAGCAGTAATTGTGTATTGAATGCCTTCGAAAAATTATTAGTAATGCCGATGGATTCAAATAAATTGTCCATAATTGTGTGTATCGTTAGGTACACGTTATCGAAAAAGTTTTCTTCGGCATCTAAATCATCTTTAATTTTATGATGATGTTTAGCAATCGCCATTGTTATTAAAAACAGGATAGCTTTGCCAACCATCATTTTTTTAAAGTAAATTTATAATTTATTTATATAAAAGTATAAAGTTGTAATTGTTGGTCACGTTGTAGACGTTGTAACTCCTAAGTCGTGGTTACGAAATTCAATTACCGAAATTAAAATTATAATCCACAAATTCACTATAAGTACGAAATATGAATAAAAACTGTAGAATATTTACCTACCTACATAAAATATCAATAAATTTGCAGGTTATACCATTTTTATCAACTTTTGAAATAAATAAACCTCTTTATTGATTTTATTTTATTACTAGCTACTTCAGCGCGATTTCACACGCTCTGCTCAGGTCCTATTGGTTGTAGCGTGATGTTTTATAACATACTAGCTTCTGCCCGCGACTTCGTACGCGTAATCCCATTTTTTCCCGTCCCCGTTCGTGACTTTTGGTAAAAATTTTAAAAAAAATGTTGGTTAAAAAGTATCCTATGTCGGTCTCCTGGCTCTAAGCTGCCTCCCTACCAATTTTCAGCCAAATCTATTCTGCCATTCTTGAGTTATAAGTGGTGTAACTAACACGACTTTCTTTTATATATATAGATAGCCATCCTTGATAAATGCACTATCCAATACAAAAATAATTATTCAAATCAGACTTGTAGTTACGGAGATTAGCGCGTTCAAACAAACAAACAAAAACCAAACTATTCCGCTTTAATAATAGTATAAGATTAACTATTTGGCTCTACAAGGGGTAAATACTTTACATTTTTTTGGCCAGGAACTAACGATGCACGCATAGGCCATGTTTTTTTTATATAGTGATTAGTTCTGTCTCGGCTATCCCATTCACATAAAAAACAGCAAAATTTTGTATAACCCAGCTGAAGTCCAAGTAATAATGCAACAACTTTAAGATCACCGCAGATTTTGAAGGAATATGTACTGTAATTTATTTTTTCAAGTAAAACTTTCATATTTTCATAGGTTTCTTTCATATTTGAAGCATGGGCCACAGGAACAGACGGAAGCATATTTCCATTATGCAATAAAACTGCTTTTAGACTTGCCTTCGAAGAATCAATAAATAAACGCCACTGAGAGATTTCAAAATCTATGTCCAACATTTTCATGATCTCATTTATGTTATTGCAAAACACCAAATCTCCATCCTGAGAAAAATACGTTCTGAAGTGTTCATCACGGTTTCGAAAATAGCTAACTTTTGTATTATGATGTAGCAAATTCCATTCTTTTAGCCGAGATCCTAATAGTTCCGACTGCTTTTTTGACAAATTTAAATCCCTAACCAAATCATTTAGGTCTCCTTGAGTTATCAAATGTGGCTCCTTTTCAATTCCTTCAAACTCAAAGTCATCATTCTCGTCAAAAGACCGACTTGAAGTAGACGGTTGTGAATGGTCGTTATCAACAGACGTTGTTGCAACTGGTATTAGTTCTGGCATTTTTTTACAATGAGAGACTGGTCTTATAGCAGAAGATACGTTAGGGTAGATAACTGTTTTTTTTTTCTTGTAATTTATACCTTTTAAGTCAGTGAGACAAAAATAGCAATCCGAAACGTGATCTCGCTGTTCAGTCCATATCATGGGTACAGCAAAAGGCATAGCTCGTGCACCTTTCTTCCAGTCGGTTAAATTTTTCACACACGTTATGCAACAGACATGAGGGGCCCAGAATTTGTCTTGATGGGCGACAGAAAAACCAAAACATTGGTGATAACACTCCAGCACAAGATTCGTAAAATTTCGTCGTTGTTTTTTGAATGTAAGTTCTCCGCAGATATAACAAAAAGAGTTAGGGTTATTTTTACACTTCCTCGACATGTTCACAGGATTAATAAATCACAAAAAATATTCAAATTCAACTACAAATACTTTTATGACGATTTACTTGTGAGCGTTTCTGTTAATTTACCGCCGTAGTACTAGTTATGAGTATTACCGTATCACAACAAATATGAGCAGTTACGTCACGGCACTCGTGTAAACCACTCGCGCGCGTGTTTGTAGTTTTAACGTAGTCAAATTAATCTTATATTGACGCATCGGCTATGAACGCGCTCTGATAATGGCCACAGGGTACAGTGATGATAGTACGAGTGATCAAGAAGACATCAATCAAGGTCCAGGAGATAGATGGATGTCACACTTTTTAATAGAAGAGGAAGGAGGAGACAAAATAGAATTAGTAGAAAACTCTGCAGAACCTAATAATAACGAAATACAAGTTATGGAAGAAGATAATATAATAAGTAAACCAATAAAACGAGGAAGAGAAGAAGATGATGAAGAAGGAAGTTGGACTAAAGTAGTAAGAGACAAAGGGAAAAAACAGAAACAATTTAAAAAAGAAGTCTTTATATGGAGTAATGAAAAGTTACCTAAACAATTTGCCATAGCAAAATTATTTAACAGTATAGGTTTAACTGAGATAAATCATGTTAAATACATAAACTCATATAAATTAAGAATTGAAGTTTCGACTGAGGAATGTGTGAATAAGTTATTGGACTGTCAAGAGTTTCAAACCAAAGGTTGGAAGGTGTACAGCGCCACAGACGTGAATACCTCATATGGAGTTATACGGAACGTGGATTTGGAGTTAAAAGAAGACGAAATATTAACTGCAATTAAATGTCCTAGTAACATTGAAATAATATCTGTAAAAAGGCTACACAGGCGCCATGAAAGCGGCTGGGTACCGAGTGAGGTAGTTCGGATCGGCTTCAGTGGGTCACACTTACCAAGCTTTATTTATATAGATTGTTTACGCACCAAGGTAGATCCTTTTGTTTTTCCGGTAACCCAATGCTCAAAGTGCTGGAAGTTTGGCCACATTAAAACAAGATGCCCATCTAATAAAATTGTATGTCCTAAGTGTACAGAACAGCATAGTAATTGTGAAGTTAAAAAATTCAAATGTGTGAATTGTCGGGGCGACCACATGGCATTGAACAGGATTTGTCCGGTTTATGCTCGAGAGAAGCGCGTGAGAGAACTCATGGCAGAATATAACTGTTCCTATTACGTAGCGTGTAACATGTACGTGAAACCTCAGCTGCCAATTGATTCACAAACAATGGGACAAAATGAAAAACCGAAGATCGATCCCAATAACAGCTTTAATGGATTAAATATTGAAGAATCAGGTAGTAGTTATAAGTATACAACAGATCTATTCCCACCGTTGTTTACGCCAAAGCGAGCGAGTTCACCGCAAGTAAGTAAACAAAAGAAATCGCATTTATATAATAAAAATGAATCGATATGGTACGGACATCGGGAGTCGTCGGACAACATTCCTAAGCAACCAACTACTACTGATAAGGATGCCAGCGATAATGTAAACAATACGCGAGAGGTACATTTTGACGAGTTAATAAATCGATTGAAGGATATTATTTTTATGCGAAATTATAGTATTAACGAAAAGTTTTATGAGATTATTAAGTGTTGTAGTAAATGGCTAGTGTTAGTTTTTGTAGATCGTATATCTGAGTGGCCTATTGTTAACAAGTGTTTAGAGTTATTTCTTGGTCTAAATAAATAATGGATCCTAAAAATAAAATTGTTCAATTAAAGTTACTGCAGTGGAATGCAAGAAGTCTGAGACCTAAACTTAAAACTTTTGAAAATTTTCTTTTGACTAGTAAAATTCATATTTGCATTATAACTGAGACTTGGCTCGAACCTGACAGTCATTTGAAAATTAGTAATTATAATATTTATAGACAGGATCGTGATGATTCATTCGGCGGCGCCGCTATTGTGGTACATAACACCGTTAAAACTCAGATCAACAGTTTTACATTACGTAATCGAAACATTCAAGTACTCCATATTAAGATATTTAACTGTAGTTTTATAGAAAATGTTGTAGCTGTTTATTGTCCACCTAATATTCAAACTGTAGACGAGGATTGGAAAATGTTATTCTCTAGTTGGTCTAATAAAACCTTAATAGGGGGAGATTTTAATGGACACCACACCAATTGGTCATACAAAGTTGATTCCAGAGGTTCACAAATCCACGATGCAGCTGATGAATGGCATTATGTTTCTCTTAACACTGGAGACCATACCAGATTCAAATTAGTTTTAAATCAGGTTCAAAAAAGTTCACCAGACATCACTTTTGTTTCATCAGACATAGCTTTACAGTTCAAATGGACTGTTCTAAATGAAAATCTGGGGAGTGACCACTTAATGATTCTTATCACTACTGAAATAACATGTCATAACCTCACAAAATCAATACGTAATTTTAAAAAAGCAGATTGGAAAATGTATTCGGATATTATATTAAATAGAATAAATACTTTTAGATTAACAGGCAACTACCAACAGATTTATAATCACCTTGTAGAATTAATTAATTACGCGGCTCAATCAGCGATTCCAGATATTAAAATTCCTAAACACCCCACTAGTAAGTTTATCCCTAGATCATATTGGTCCCCCGCATTATCTAAAGCGGTCGCAGAACGTAGATTGGCATTGGCACAGGTTAGGAAAAACCCAACGCCAGTAAATTTCATAGTTCTTAAACAAAAAGTTGCTACGGCACAGAGGCTAATCCGTATAGCAAGTGCAGAGTCTTATCGACAGTTCTGTGACAGTATTGGAGAGACGACATCTAGCAGTGAGTTATGGAGCAAAATGAGATGGCTTAAAGGGTATCGTAGTAATAAAATTTGTCTAGATGAAGAGAAGGCTACCACATTCTTAAGGCAATTGACTCCAGATTACGTAAGCCCACAATATCCTGTCTTTAGGTCAATTAACCCACAGTTAGAAGCACAAATCACGACGCATGAACTGTTAAATGTGTTGAAGACGAAGGATACCGCTCCAGGGGCAGACGATATTTCCTATTCGATGATTTATAACTTTCCTAACAAACACCTTATAATCGAGTTATTTAATAAATGTTTGAATGAAAGTGGAGTCCCAATTCAGTGGAGAAATATTAAAGTAGTACCTATACCAAAACCTGGACGCGATCCTTGTAACGTAACCTCATTAAGACCTATCTCGCTCATATCTTGCATCTGTAAATCATTTCACAACATTTTAACAAGACGTCTCGAATGGTTTTATGAAAGTAATAACCTTTTTTCTGAAAACACTATAGGATTTAGAAGATCTCAATCGTGTCTAGATAACTTAGTTCGCCTAGTCTCGCAGATTCAAATAGGTTATACAAATAATCAAATGACATTGGGATGTTTTGTAGATATAAATAATGCATATAATAATGTCGATATCCTGAGAGTAGTAAATAAACTGGATGAAATGGGAGTTGGGGCTTCTATATGCAGGTATATATGGGAATATTTAAGGGAAAGACATCTATCTGTGTCAGAAGTGGGAAGTAATGTTTCGATTACAAGATGGACATGCATGGGATTAGCGCAAGGAGACCCCATGTCTCCAATTCTATTTAATATCGTGACAAGTGACATTTGCAAAAAGATTATGAGTGTATATGTATCACAATATGCGGATGATTTCGTCCTCTATATTTCTGGCCAGAATGTTGGACTTATGACGACTACCCTCCAGGAAGCATTGGATACGTTATTGAATTTGTTAGAGGTTTTGGGTCTGGAACTATCTCCCTCAAAAAGCAAGATTTGTTTATTTTCTAGGAGAAAGTCATTACAACCAGTAAAAATCAATATTAATAATACTAACTTGGAAAACGTTTCGACCGTTAAATATCTAGGTTTATGGCTAGATTCATCTTTAAAATGGCGTAAACACATAAATGAAATTTATGAAAGGAGCACGAAATTCCTAAATGTTTTTAAGATTCTAGCAGGTTCGTCTTGGGGAGTCCATCCATTACATCTAAGACGACTGTATATTGCTTTAATTCGTAGTCGATTAGATTATGCCAGTTTTCTTTTCGATAATAGTGCCAAGACTAATATTTCAAGGCTAGATAAAGTTCAAAATCAAGCCATGAGAGTAGTTGGCGGTTTTGTGAAAAGCACCCCAATTCACGCGATGGAATCGGAGTTATGTTTGCCACCATTGTTTGTTCGAAGAAAATATTTAGCTACTAAATTTTATTTGAAAGCTAAGTCTGTTGCTAATGGCGAAACCATTACGATAATATTAAAATTAACCTTGCTATGTGAGCACAATTTATATTGGCGGAATAAGAAAAAACCGTTGCTAACTATGGTGAACAGTGAGTTATCTAATCAATCTTTACATAGTTCCAAAGTTCTAGAGATGTTCTCACTGTCAACATGGATGGCGAATATAGATATAAAATCACACATAAATCTAAACATTTGTAATATGGCAGGCCCTAAAAGATTTAATTCCTCATTAGAACTTCTTAACCAATGTATAGGAACTATAGCACAGCATTACCATGGATTCTATCAGATTTACTGCGATGGATCCAAGGACAACAATGGAACGGGAGCTGCATTTTTTGATCCACAGTGTAACACGGGAGTTAGTTTTACATTAAACTGTAAACTATCTATTATGACAGCAGAATTGTATGCGATCTCAGAGTGTCTGTCTTATTTAATGTCTTGCAATAATAATAATTTTGTTATATTTTGTGACTCCAAAAGCGCTTTGCAGCATATAGCTCGGTGCACCTCGGGTTTACGAGGCTTGCCTGTAGCTTATTCCATATTAGAGACCTATATAAGGTTGAGAAATATTGGCAAATTTGTTAAATTCCAATGGATCCCGTCGCATGTGGGTCTAATAGGAAACGAAATAGTAGATAAGTTAGCCAAAGCAGGAGTATATGAAGGATTGTCTGTCAGCCATTTACCCTTCTTCGCGGATATACTAAGAGATATCAGACATTCATGTTACAAAGTGTGGAAAGAATATTTTGACCAACGATCTGAAGAGAAGGGTATATGGTACAAAACTATACAATCCGAGCCACCTAAGATTCCTTGGTTTACTGAAGTTAAGATGAACAGACAATTGTTGGTTACATGCTTACGTTTGCGAGCCGGGCACATTCCATTGAAAGCGTTTGGACATCTAATGAAAGTTATTAATTCTCCTAACTGTTTGACTTGCGATGTAAGAGAAGATGTCTACCACGCTATGGTGGAGTGTTCTCGGATTGGTGCAGACCGGAAAGAGTTAGAATACGAATACAGCATAAATTTAAGAGATGTCGGTATGTGTAATTTGATTTTGTCTAAACCTACATCCAAATTAGCTTTTAAGATATGTTGTATAATTGTTAAATTAATTAAGTTAAGATATTAGTTCTTACTTAATTTTGTTATTTACTTTCACTATGGGGCTGGCATCATCGCTTCGCGATGAAAGCCTTTTTCTTAATAAAGATTAAAAAAAAAAAAAAAACAAATATGAGGCTAACAGACAAATGAAAACTGTGATTTAATGATGAGGGTAGATTGATAAAACAAAATTAGCTATCAAAGTTCGTGTGGCAAAATCAGTGTTGACCAGTGTAGTTTGTTGAGAAAAAAAAGGATTTAAATACAAAAGACATATTTCATGACATAGATGTATATTACACACGTTATTTTAATAATGTGCTTTTACCACCATTGCATATCAAATTAGGATTAATAAAAAATTTTGTGAAGGGAATGGATCGCAGTGGGAGTGGATTTTTGTACCTAAAAGAAAAATTCCCTAAAATAAGTGATGCAAAAATAAAAGAGGGTATTTTTGTTGGCCCTCAAATCAGGGAGTTAATAAAAGATTCAACATTTGAAGAAAAATTAAGCGGTTTAGAAAAATGTGCATGGAACGCATTTAAAAATGTTGTTGCAAATTTTTTGGGCAACCACAAGAGTGACATCTACAGAGAGTTGGTTAGCGAGCTCTTATTGTCATATCAAGCATTGGGTTGCAACATGTCACTCAAGATCCATTTTTTAGACTCGCACCTGGATTTTTTTCCTGACAATTTAGGGGCTGTCAGTGACGAGCACGGCGAGAGGTTCCACCAGGACATTTCTAGTATGGAAAAGCGGTACCAGGGAAAATGGAGCCCAAATATGTTAGCGGATTACTGCTGGACAATTAAAAGGGACCAACCAGAAGCTAAACATTCAAGAAAATCTTAAATTATTAAGTAATTTATATAAAAAAAAGTTTGATTTACGAGATCTGTATTTTTTCTTAATATTTTTAATTACTCAATAGAATAAAATCCTTGGCTAGCAAATTTTTTTTAACTGTTTATCTTTTCTTACAATCACCAACTAAAGTAAAAAATATCAAAAAAGTCCGTGTGGCACGAAAAAGTTTGAATTTTGTTGACCAGTGTATCAGAATCAATATAATTAATAAATAATGTAATGAATAAATATGTTTAATACGACTAGATTTAATAATAATCAGAGGAATTTTATGACAGAGATCATGTACAAACCTTAAAGAGGATAATGGGTAGTTGACAATTAGACAAATTCTATACTTTCGTCGAAATTCTAAAAATGATACTTTTCTACGAGTTTCATAGCATATCGCAGCTTTACCTTACTTATTTCTTTTTTTATAGAATAAGCCGGTAAACGAGCAGACGGATAACCTGATGGTAAGCATTCGGCGTCGCCCATGGACACCCGCAACACCAGAGGAGTTACAAGTGCGGTACTGGCCTTTTGGGGATTAGGAATTTGAGGATTGTTGGGGATTCGGGGATTGGGGAGGAGGGTAATTGGGCTTCCGGTAACCACACTCACACGACAAAGTGTTGTATTTCACGTCGGTTTTCTGTGAGTTCGTGGTATCTCTCCGGTCGAGCCGGCGAAGCTGAGGCGAAGCATGGTTTTGACACATTTAGCTTCAAATTTTCGAAAATCATATCCATCAACGAACGTACCTAGGAATAATTTTGACTGAGTTATGTACCACATTATTAATATCACCGAAGCAGTTACAATAAAGAAACGAAAGAAAGTTAAAACAATATTGGAATTATTGGTTTAATTAGCAATGCCTGACAAATTACAAATAGGCGAAACTAATTATAAGATAAGTGAGTGACTATACAGCCAAGATCAGCTTAAGATTAAAGTTATTATCTCCAAATAAAACACATTACATTTTTAAGCGTATTTCGGTAAATCAGGTTCCACTAAATAATTATCATTAATGTAATCAGCTTCCCCACGGAAATGTGGTCGAGGAGACTGGCTGCTGTGTTTGTCACGCAAGTTATTATCTAGATATGACTCTGGACCTCGATCCTTGCGAGATGATCGTCGCTCGTAAGAACTTGGTTCTGTAGTCCGCTCATAAGAGTTTAAGAAGAAGTCAGTGAAGGAACCAATTGTATCACTCGCCGTCCGTTCCGTGACGGTTTCAGTGGGTTCATGCTGCGGCTCCGTCAAGTGCGGCGGCAATGTGTTTGAACTCGACAAGGTAATCGTTACATACTCCGATGTCTCTTTCGGAATATGAAGCCCGGGCAGAGGGAAGAAACTCTTGTTCACCAACGGATGTTGCATGGGATTCAGTCTCTTTGTAGTGGTAGTAAACATATCAGCAACGTCTTCTTCGGGCAGATCCTCGTACATAACGTCTGGCAAGGAATCTATGTCAGTCAGTATCGGTTTGTGTTTACCATGCTTGAGGGCAAATACTTTCTTTGCTTTAAAGTTTTTTTCCTGTGCGTTTGTTTGCGTTATTGGAACTATCTTTGGGTCGGTTGTAATGATGAACGTCGGCCACGTTACATGAGTGAGAGGCCGATGTGTAGTTCGTGCTCCTATTGCTTTTATACCAGACCTCTGTAAAAAATAGGGAAATAAAACTAATTTATATTTGATTTAAATATTTTTATTACATTTACTCAAAAAATTGAATTATTGTCGTACACTTTCGTCTCAATCGCGGTCTCTAGACCATTCGCGTCTCCGTTTCTTGCTATTGGCAATACTTGGCCTAATGTACTTTGTATTGAGAAGAATGGGTTTATCCGCACGGTCGTAGAGGAGGTGTAAGGGAATAGTTGATGAGTCGGAGATTTGGGTGTCGTTCGCGCTCCTACCACAAGGCCGTACTGTAACAGAGTGGAAATAGTTCAAGCCTTATTGCTTTTCAATACAATAAAATCTTAATAGTTGCACATAATGAGGAATCACAACAAATGAGATTAAGATTTCTTTATTGTTCGAACTAAACGTCAGTTTCAGTAGAGAGGGCACGAATACAATAGGTAGGTACAATTGCTAATAAGCTCAACTACGTTTATGGCCAAATGAACGGGACTATCAAATTAAACGCAAGTAAACAATTCCGACTGATCCTAAACACATTTTTCTTTTGAAAAAGAATCAAACTGGGATTTTCGTGCGTTTTGAAACATACATTCAAGTCTACATACACATCGTACACAGAATGATAATCTGTCGATCAGTCAAAAAGTTATTCCATGCGAAAATCGATCTCGCGACACGTTGTACACACGGCTACACATCGAGCTATACATAACCAGTATAAACTGAACGATAAATGTGCGGAAAGATGATGCGACGCGACACCAGGGTAAACTGGTTTTGTATAGATTGATGTGTGGTCGTGTGTACATCAGCCGATGCCCCAGTTACTGCGTCAACCAAGCAGTGTGGCAAGAACAAATACACCGTAAAATTTATATCATTTTCGTCTCGCGACAAAACAACTTGCAATAAAGAGTAATTTCAATATATGAAGTAAAAAAAAGTATAAAGAAGATTTTTTTCAGTTTAAAAAAATATTCATTGTCTTTCGAATATGAGACACTAGATGTAAATTTGTAGGCACTATTCGCTTCGCACGTGCAACCCACCGAGAAATGCCTCTTCGAAAATTAAAAACTGTAATGTTTCGATATTGTTATATTTCTATTCACCCCGTTTTACGGTACTATAAGTTCGTATACAGTTTCAAAGTTTACTTTTTGCAATGGTTCACCAATTATTTTTTGTTTTACATTAAATTTCTTTCTAAAACTATTTCTATTGTATTACCAAGACAGAACTATTTTACTTCGGGTCGATATTGAAATTAATTACACGGTGTATTTTCTATCAGATATACGTCTTAAGCATCCTTAAGCCTTTGACTGCCGACAGAAAACTGTTGAAGGCAAATCCTCCGCTAACGTAGGTCACCGGTGACTAACACGCCGGTTAACGTGTTAAGAAACGTGTTTATAAAAGAAAATTGGAAAATCACCGTCTTAATAACGCTGTCGATCCATTTTCTGTAGTAACCAAGTTTTGTGAAGACGGTAGGAGAGTCTACGGCCCCGCATATAGGTGCACCGAAGCTTATAACACCGATGAGTGTGCCCCCCACAACTCCGGGACCACCAACGTCTTTCTGAAACATAGAGGTAAAATATTACCTAGACTGCAATGTTTAAGACTACAGAGTCAATACTATGTCGATATTTGTCTTTAGTCTTCAAGGGACCATCAGTATATCTAAACTTTTGTGGCCAAATTGTGATCCACAAACTGCCTACGGAAAACCTAGAAACGTAAGAATAATAGCTATCGCAATATCTTTGCAATAAGACATTAGTTCTACTTTCACTTGGTAAGTAAGTATATAAATGTAAAAATACAAACATTGCAAGCGCCTCCGCCTGCCGATATGAATCCAGCGCAAAAGTGCTTGTCCGTCACGAATGTGCTGAAATGTATGGGAAAATTTTTAGTCTTTACGTGACAATATGAGAAATGTGTGGACTAAGTCTGCTTATTGAATTCAATAGTCTCTTTTGAAATGTTAAAATGTAATTGTCCCTCAGTCTTATCCATCAGTGAAGCTCCTTGAGCAGGGAGATGAAATGAATCACATTACAAAGAAATATCTTACGGGGAGTAAATCTCAGCGCATTCGTTCACTTGGTAGATATCCAGCTTCGCCACCAACATCCTTTCAAATTGATCTATCACGTTGCTTTTCTGAAATTAATATTAATGTAGTATCTATAGTTCGTTCTTTCAAGCATATATCGACCAGATTGCCGACATATTAAAGAATCGTCAAATTAAAAGTATCCTTAACCGACTAGCATGCCCGAAAACACTGATGACTGTTGAGGATGCGAAAGAAGTATATAAAAATATTATATGATTATAATTGTGGGAGACAGGCATGGGATTATGTATGTATAGTTCGTTAGAGTTCAGACAGTACTTATCTAAGAAGATTACCTTCCTAGCACCCCATCCAATGACTATAATATCCTCCGTGTTCGTAGCTAAATTTGCTGGCGTCCTGTCGAACCGTATCCTCTTCACTTTCTTCTCTCTTCTCAAGAATTTTATATGTTTATACAACCGTAATAGTACTAGATTGTTAGCCAAGGTCTTAGGGTCATAAGAAGGGTGAAAGTAAGTCTCCACAATGCCTATGACCTCGCCTCCTCTAGCGAAGTAATCACTGCCGATGCGAATAGAAAGAGCACTTGGGTTCTCTCTGTAAAATCTGTTATTGTGAAGTCTGGAAGGAAAAAAGTTATTATTTATTTATAGCGATCGATTCACTGCTAATTAGTATTTATTGTAGTAGTCTACAGCATACTGTCAAACACCAAGCGGTCACCGGTGACCGCAACCTATTGTTCTTTATTTGTGTCTACAAAACCGGTACTCGACGAGTTAATGCAGTTACATGAGTTGGGAATACACATCACACTATCAATGCACAGCCTTATGCAGTTTCATAAGAGAATATTGGCTTGGAAAAGAGAGGTCGATACACGCTGCACAGTGATAACGTGATGATGACAATTGTCACTTAAGCCAATTACAGAGTTTCACGACATTTGTTAGACTAGTTTAACCAGAAAGTAATGTAGGAAAGGAATAAAAGGTAACACAACATAATACTGCATTATCATTATTTAACTTTTTTTTAATTTGATGGGTCTACGTTTGACCACTATCTCGCCTGGTGGTAAGTGGTGATGTGGTCTACGATAGAGCACGTCTGCCCATAAGTAACCTATATTCAATCGGGTATTGAAGACACCCAGGTTATACCCCTCAGGAAACACAGAGTATGGAAACAATTGCAGGGTAGAATCCTGCGTAATCACTTACAATTGTAAGCAGGACGCCGCACTAATGACCAGGTCCTTGGTGAGGATGGAGCCTGCGCAAGCAAACGTGCCCATCAGGTGGATGCTCACGATGAACGGGTAACTCCTTATTTTACTCCGTTTGCCTTTAAATATCCTCCGGCTGTCAGTATCGTTGACGAAATCTAATTCTAGGACTGGTGGTGGTTCTGAAAATGGACACCAGTGCATAAAATTCAATATGTAATGATCTCCATATAAAAATATATAAGATCATATTATTTGTATACGTATGGAAATGCTAGGAATTGGTATAGGGAGAGTTCTTAACGTTCCATGATGCTAAAGTTTTGTTAAAGGTAATTGACTCGACTCGACAGACTGTTACATGCGAGAAGAATGACATAAAAATAAAAGGATGAAATGAAGTGAACTCGTGTCCCAAATTGTGGACTGGTTAGGGGAAAAAGGGAATAGCTTTTTATGAGGTAGACAGGTAGGTATAGATGAGCAACGCAATTTGTTATTCATTAACTATGTTTAAGTACACTACCGACAAAAAGTTTGGAAGCACTTTAGATATTAATAATATTTGAAGGAAAATATAGGAATTAATACAATTTTACCAGTACTGATTAGGTATTTAATTAAATCAATAATTAAACTACAAAATAAAACCACTTTTTTCTTTATTAAACAACATAATTTATAATTGATTTTCATTAATATGACTACCCTTTGCCTTAATAACAGCTTGGCAAATTTTAGGCATTCTCTCCAGTAATTTAATCAAATATTCGGTGCCAATTTCTTTCCAAGCTTCCTGTATACATTACCACAACTCTCTAGTGCTCTGTGGCAAACGTTCTTTGGCTTTTCGATCCAGCTCATCCTATAATTTTCTATAGACGATAGGTCAGGTGATTGCGGGGGCCACACCATCAGTACAAGCGTACCATTCGATTCCTGTTCTTCTAGATAGGCTTTGCATATTCTAGCTGAATGTTTGGGATCATAATCCTGTTGAAACACGAATGGTTCAACCACAATACATATCCCTGAAGGCAAAGCATGATCTCTTAATATTTGCAAATACTGGTCCTTCCTCATAATTCCATCAATTTTAACAAGATCTCCGACAACTGTTCCAGCAAAACATCCCCAGACTAAAACGTTACCACCACCGTGTTTTACTGATGACACCAAGCAGCTTTCAGATACTCGTTCATGGGATCTGCGGCGCACAAACACTCGTCGATTAGATCCAAAGATTTGAAATTTTGATTCGTCCGTCCATAATACACTTTTCCACTGTCCAATGTTCATGCTATTTTGCCCATTCCAGACGTTTTTCCTTATGTATTGCCCGTAATAATGGTTTTTTTACTGCTACACGACCACGCAGACCAGCAGCTGAAAGACGATTCTTCACTGTAGAAACTGACACTTTATTGAATCGCGTTTTAATCAACTCCCGAGTGATGTCCGGTGCTGTCAGTCGACGATTACGTTTTGAAGTCGTTATTATGAACCTGTCCTCTGCTGCAGAAGTAGTCTTTGGTCTTCCGCTCCGTTTTCGATCCGATAAACTGCCAGTTTCACGATGTCTAGCAAGTGTGTAATGAACTCCCTTAGGCGATATACCGAGTTTTTTTGCAATATCTTTTTCAGAATACCCTTCACTTTTTAAAACAATAATAACCGATCGTGTTTCAATAGGTAACTGTATTCCTTTGCCCATTTTTCTCCACAAAATAAAGAAATTACTATTTTTTTAAGTTGTAGTTGTACAGAAAAAAAAATACAATTTGACGGTGTGCAAATAACGAATCACTATTTTTAACAGAGATGACAGTTTATATTAACTACCTACAATAAGCTATGACGCGTGAAAAATGGTTATAGGGTACTCAGCAAATTAAATAAAGTAATAAAATAAAATGTACATCAATAGGTTATTGTAATTTTTATCAATATCTCTAAGAAAAGTCCACAGCGATTAATCCTAATACAGTAAAATAATATGAAATGATAGTATATTGAACTACGAAAAAGATGAAATTCGCTTATAGCGATTTACTAGGTGTTATAACAAAAATTAGAGGTGCTTCCAAACTTTTTGTCGGTAGTGTATATTAAAAAATATTTCCTACTAACCCCAGTACTCAAGATTGTCGTCATCATCTGCTTCTGTTGGTACTGCAACTGGTGGAGGTTTAGAGAAATCATTTTCACTGAGCTGATCTATTTTCTTTATAAAATCTTGAATGAATTCCATGAATTCTTTGCTGTCACTGAATACAGGCTGAGGTGTGGTGACGGTTTCCAAAATTGTCTCTGTAGTGGTGGTCACAGCACGTGGAACATGTGATACCTTTTTGTGTTTAGTACGTTTGCGTGGTACATACTTCCCATACAAAGTACTAGACAGATTGTAGGGCTTGTTATCCAATATATCTCCAATAATGTTAAATAATGCTATGCCAGTCGTGGTGTTATTGTCTATACTAACTTCCACAGCATCTAGCATTTTATCATGGACTTCGAAATTTTTCGCTGCAATACTTTTCAGATCATAATGCATTGTTAACAACAACTTGATCCTCGATCTCAATGGGAAGTCCGGCGCTAAGTTCAGTGAGTCGAAGAGATTGTTCATTATATTTTGAACATCATCATCTACTTTAAAATACACGTTTTCATTAGATTTCAATATGGTTTCAAGAAGTGTTCTATGATTATGTCTAGCTACCACCACAGGAATAAGGAACATGATAATAGCCGTCAATTTCATTGTATACAAATTTAAAATAACTTAAATAATTACTAATACGGATTGACTTAGGTGCGTACAAAGAAAAGATCGAATTAAAATAAATAACTGTTCAGGTGATCGATAAAAGTTTATAAATTGAAAATTTCGTAACAGCCGATGGCAATTTCTTTTTGTTAGATTTCACAATAAAACAATAGTCATAAAACATATTCAATTTATTGGGCAACAACTTTAATAAGAAATATATTTTGATACGACTTCAAAATTTTCCATTATAATTATAAATATTTTGAACTTCATTTGTTTAATACAAGAGGCATCTTTCTTCACATGTCTTGCACCAAGAATAACATCTTTTATTTCATTATTTTAAGTATCCTCGTGCAAGTTCGGAGCCTCGTAGAGGTCCCTAACGAGGAAGTCGTCGAAATAGTCGCAGTCGAGTCATCAATACGAAAAGTCACAAACGGGATATTCTCAGCTCTCAAACTCGAAGACGTCAAACATAAAACGAGGATCAAGGAGTTCTCAACAATTCACAACTTCTTTGTCACGATCACCTTACAAGATCAAACCAATCTGAAAGAAATAGCAGGTCTTGTAAAAGCTGATAACGTCGATAACAAAACGCAACATTTTATTACACAAGTAAATGAGGTATTAAATGAAGATAATAAAAGCAACGAAACAGAAGATGATGTTTATGTTACGACGCACATAGAAACGTTTATAAAGAAACTTGAATATTTGAAAGATAAATATGGCTTCGCTAACAATGATCCTAGTTTTGGTGTAAATGCACAAATTTTGCAACACTTGAAAGAGGCAATTTCTAAGAATAGAACTCAAGAAGAAGATGATTCGGATAACAATCTTTTGAGCGACTTAGAATATTGGCGTAAGTAAACATGTAACCTGAAATGGCTTGTTTGTATTTTAAACAAAGACTTACTTGGATACTTTATAGTTTTAAATGTTTAACAATTTTTACATTACAGAGCCTAGTGGTCGTCGCATCTACCAAGGTCACCGGGAGAAGATCACTCGGTTTCCTTTTGTAGCAAGCGTGCTATTCTTCAACAAGTTTCAATGTGGAGGCTCTATTATCAAATCCGACTTGGTCATCACTTCAGCGTCATGTCTGCAACTGTATGTCTTTATTTTTTATATGTATAGGTCTATTTTATCTATTTTACATTTATACATTAATTTGATTGGTCCACCGACAGAGCCTGGAACAACCGCTTCTTCAGAGAAAATCCAGCCTTTCTCTCCGTACAAGTTGGTTGCGAATTATATGAAGGTGGAGATGAGAACATCCCCATCCAGGAGGTGTACTTTCATCCTGATTACGACCCTAAGAACTTAAGGAATAACCTTGCGATAATGCGCTTACTGCGTGTCTTGCGTTTTGGCAAACGCGTCAAGAAGATCAAGAAGATTAACTTTGATAGAGAAGCTTCGCCATTGGCATCGAACACTGATGGGATTACTATAATTGGCTGGGGGGCTAAAACAGTAAGTTGAATACTGTCATCAAAACCCATGTTTAATTTAAAAGAATTCACTTATTACTCTTATTTACTTATTTTTTATTTTTCAGACTAGCAATATAATCAACAGCGTTTGGTCTAATCGACTGTCTTATGCGGTCCTTGACTTCTACCCGCTAAAGGAATGTCAAGATGTATATTCCAAGTGAGTTATATACTTTACTAGGTACCCGCCCGGCTTCGCACGGGTGCAATATGCATGTATTGTACATATAAACCTTCCTTAAGAATCACTCTATGTATTAAAATAAAACGCATCAAAGCCGTTGCGTAGTTTTAAAGATATAAGCATACATAGGGATAGATAGACGGCGGATAGCGACTTTGTTTTATGCTATGTAGTGATAGTCACTTTTTATCACTTGGTACCAAATTATCCTCGGAGATCCCTCTTTAGAAAGGTCAGCGTAATATGGACTGTTAGTCAGAGGTGTGTAGATTCTACTAAGGGTAGGGCATTAAATGCCTACTGGGTGGGAAAATGGAATAACAATTAGTGTTAATAGTTGCTTGGTCTAGGCTGGTGATCATTACGTCATTTTACTAGTTAAGTACCTACTTTACTAACTTAAATGCATTATTTCGCTTGTAGGGAGTTCGTGACGTACAAGAATTTTTGCGCTGGATTCTTCTCAAAAGGAGGTGGAGCCTGTAACGTAAGTGGACGCACTTAAAGAGTTATTTAAAATACTTTGCTAACAAGTGCCTAAGTATAAAGTACCTACTTAAATTTCGAAAAATTCTGCATCCTTAATCTAACTTCAGATAGTACCAGATTAACTAGACTGTCTCTACCTTTTTACCTCATACATTTTTATTTTCGCTCAGCGAGATGTCGGTGGTCCTGGAGTAGCATATGGGACTCTAGTGGGTGTGGTCAGCTTTGGGTCCCCAAACTGTGGCGCGCCGGACTCCCCCACTGTGTTCACTAAGCTCGGCTACTATAAAACATGGATTGAAGAAATCATGGAAATGGTACGTCTTTATATCGTTTTGCTACAAATTTTTCATCTAAACCTAGGTTAAATTAACGTACAATTATCTAAGAAGTCATAAAATCTCTATTTCTAAATAAAAAAACATATATGATGTCGAAATAAACAAACAATATTAAATTACCGATTATTTCAGGAACCACGAACCAGTAGGTTGAAAACCACACTCAGATCGACGCGACACAGTTACAGAGTGGATCATTACATGACAACACCGGCTAGTTACTCACTCGAACCAGTCACCATGACCAAGTTGAAAAGTGAACCTTATAGCATTACGCCTATGCCTATTAAAAGTATAGATGCCCTTAGAGCATTAGATGATAATAACCTCTTTAAGGAATTCATCACCACTATGTTTGGTAGCGAGGAAGTGAAGGAGTATCTGGATCAATATGAATATGATACGGATACAGACGATGAAGAAAAATTAGATATGGAAGCCCAAAAGGTTTTAGATATGATCAGAATCAACACCGGAACAAGTACTGTGCGAACCACCCCTAAGATAAGTATTACTGGTCACCAGCAAGCTACCACTGAAGACGATGAGGACTATAAATTGGGCTCAGTTCGAATGGTTACTGCGATCGAAAACTTTGAGAAGCCGGACAGCAGTGGCAGTGACGATAGTAATGAATCACAAACACCACTGCCACCGAAATTGTTTGTTGACTATACAACTTCATCGAAGACACAGACACCGGACAGCGCAGAAAAAGTGGAAGAAAAAATTGCCAAGCTTATTGATGAAATTGATATACAAGAACTGTTGAAATCTGAATCTGGTGACACTTCGGCAGATCTTGTTATGAAAAATAAAACAGTAGCCTCATCACACGTCCAGATGAATAAAGGAGTCGGTATAGTTCCTGCGGATGATTCAAATGACATCTCTGGTGATGGTGATGATGACGATGACGATGATGTAGATAATGAAGACGATGATCAAGATGATGAAGATAAAGCTGGATCAGAAGGTCTATATCTGGATGTGCTCGATTTAACACAAAAAGTGACTGAGAAAAGTCAGAGACAACCACAAAAACAACCACAAAAACAACCACAAAAACAACCACAAAAACAACTACAAAAACAACCACAAAAACAACTACAAAAGCAACCACAAAAACAACCACAAAACTTGCATCAACAAAAACGGTATAAGCAGAAACAGTATCAGCAACAACCACAACATCCGCAAAAACAACATCGCCAAAATCAAAACAAAAATCAACAGAAACACCATAAACAACAAGTACATCAGCCAAAAAGCCGTCAGCTGAAAATACATCAACATCAGCAACAACAACAAAAGTCATCAGAGCAAGGACTAAGCATCCCAAGTCCTACGTTTAGAGATTTTACTTTTAGACAAAACGAATCTTATAGTTCTGGCAGTATACTGGATATATTCTCTCAAACTGATTTAATGGAACTACTGACTGAAGTTGTTGCTGATGCGACCAAAAGCAACCCTTCTGTTTCTGATAATATTTCAGGTGTTTGGTAGGATCCTGTTCTTGTTGATATCTTTCATTAAATGGTAAAAGTATAAGGTAGATATTTATTACTTAAGAAATAAGACCTAGTTTACTTTACGGGACTAAAAATAAAATCTGACATATATGTTAAAGTGTACAAAAGGGGCATTGTTTATCCTCCTCCTTCCCTCCTACCACTCAATCACGAATTTTACCTCTCACGGGGTAGGTAAAGGTACACGTAGTGGCACATATAGTTGATATAGGTATACTTATCTAGATACAAAATAACATCCCCTTTTCCCCAGCTATATTACGAATCCCATGTCCGATGCCAAATACGGGGCACAATCCTAGATTCCGTGCTGTTACTGAGACAACCAGGTGACTCGTTTATTTTCTCTAGAACACACAACTGAACAGATTGTTAGGATAAATTATCAAGCTAAGAAACGAAATAATGATTTATATAACTGCACATATTCACACAGAAACATCGTTAATAATTATTTTCAGGGTGGCGCTAGTGTTACACATTTTTTTGGTAAAATTATTTATAACTCTTACTTGTAATATATTTAAAAAAGTTAAACGATTTCCTATGTAAGTAGCTGGACAAGAAACGATAATTAAATCGTAGCAGATTTAAAAGTAAACTTAAAAGTTTGCGTAGATCGGAACGTATAAATCAATAGACAATGATTCGTATCTAAATCCACCAGATGTCGCCCGCTCTCTAAATTTTCAGTCTTGGGTGGTGATAAGATTATTTTGCCAGAGAAACCACATTTTGAGGTAAAAATAATTAGTTTTACTGAAATATTTTGTGTTACGTGATCTGTTATTTATTGTTTTTGTAGCTAACTAGTGTTAATTGCTTTTATATAAGGTAAGTGGCGAAAAATGACATAGCGTAGTAGGTATCCAGTTGTCAAAATACGTAAGTGAATTCCAAATTCAAATTTAATAAATTTTTTATTGCTACAATTTTTGTTCCGTGTTTCGCTTGAGTTTAGAATTTTCATTAATTAATCTGTGAAATAAGACATTTCATCAGATCTTAATACCGTCTACAG